TTTTTTGAGATTTGGTTTTCCTTAGTTTTAGAGGGATAGATTCTGAAATCAGTTCCTAAACTTGCCCTGTGTAATAAATAGCTTACATTATTAAATCTGGCATGGTCCAGACACAGGTCCAACTTTGAATTGTTTGAGGGCAGCATCCTATAACTCCATAGATGTCCAGATGGTGATCTTCATTCCTGGGACAGTGAGTGTTCCCCAGCCTTGAGGCCCTTTGACATGGTCTGGAAGCACTACGGGGACATGGATGAGCGAAAAGCAGTGGTGAAATGTGTTAATCTGGGCCAAGTGTTTATACAGCTATACGATCCAGCTATTTTATTTGTTTGTAAAATGTAAGTAACAGAATAATTGAGGGAAGTAAGCAAATGGGAGAAGAAAATCCCTTTTTTTTTTTTGCCTTGCAGCCCTTACAGGAGGAGAGACAAAGGAGTCTGTAGAACATTTTCCTTTTTTTCCTTAAATCCCAGCTGCTCTCCCTTCCCTTTTTCTTTGTCCATGCCAGCTGCCATTTTGCTTCTCTGTCCTCTTCATGACCAAGTGGTTTCATAGCAAGTGACAGCGATCCTCTCCCAACTATCACACACAGATCATTAACCTTGTAGTTAACAAGACAAGATGCAGTATTTTTGCCTTGAATCCTTTTGCCTTGTCCCCCTGGAGCTGTATCTTTTCCCATCCCCCATCCAGACGCTTTTCCCTGCACCTCACTCTGGCTGCCCCTCTGGTTCTGCTGATCCCATACAGCGTTGTCTGAGTAGGGCTGTAATTCTCACCTCCATCCCAATAACTTATCTACAGGGTTTCCTGAGCTTGTGCATTGATGTCTTACTGGACCTTTTGTTTTGCCTCTGACTCTGCTGTTTCACTTTTCTTGTTTTGCAGGTGTGGGAAGTGGCTAAACCTTACATTGAAAAGTACAGGAGGGAACACTTCCCTGAATCCAGACCCATTTCACCAACAGCTTTCTCCCTGGGATCACTGGAAATGCATGCAGGCTTTGGTCATGACCACAGGCATCAGGATGAACTTTAAGAGTTGTGGTCCCCTGGTAGAGAGCAGATCCTTTCCAGGACCTTGCCTGAGGGTGGCCTTTCTGCTCAAAGTCAAATATGGTTTCTCCAGGTGACCCAAAGGACCTGAGTGTCTAGCTCAGGAGCACACACAGATAGTAGAGAAATGGCTCACTAGTTTCCTCACGTGCGAAAGACAGCTTTGTCATGATAGTGTGGTTTTGACTGAATTTCCTGAGCTTCTGAACACAAAATATTCAGACTGCTGCTGAAACCAGTGGATTTTGTATACAATGCCTCCTGTATTTGTTTTGTCAGCTCATTGCTTGTTTTCTCTTCATCTGTGCCAATGATACCAACCAGCCTAACAAAGTCTAGGTTTGCCTTTTTTTTTTTTTTTCTCCTTTGGGTAACTGCTGTGGTCCCCTTTGTTCTGCCACAAGCAAATCTTTACACTTAATTCTCCTCTCTTTTGCATATCATATGTGAGGTACGGGCTCTTGTATAACAAGAGCATTTTTAGAGCAGGTACTCCACAAATTGAAAAAGCTGTATGTATAGGAATGTGCTGTGGAGATCATTACTGCAGAACAAATACATTGTATTCTGGTGATGGACTACACTTAATGCAGCTTTCCAAGATCTATGGGCTCACACCTTCAATAAATAAACTGAGGCTTCACATACGGCTGTAGCAATCTATTTTCCTGCCGCGTGTGATGATGAAAATGTAAAGCAAAAGCTTAATTTGGAAATAAGGAGGACAGGTGGAACAGGGGAGGAAGAGGAGGTGTACGAATGGTGGATGTGAACCAGCGCTGAAGCAATAGCATGAAGATCTACACTCCCATGGCAGGAGTATCTGCCTGGCTGCTGAAGGGCTCGTGTTGTAGCATGCTCCATGTTACACCTCTGGCACAGGCTTTATTTTGCAAGGGAAGAGTCAGGTCTTAGGCTTCACATTGTGGTGCAGCGATGACACGTAAGGCTGGTTAACAACCACCCACCTTGGCATTACGGGCCTGATTCCCACGGGATCCCACGGAGGGGAATGCAGCATGGGCTGGAAATCTGGCTACGCTGCTATGCTGCAAGGGGCAGCCAAAGTGCTAGTGTGGGGCTACCCTTGAGTGTCTGAGACCTGCTATGTTAAATGTGCCCAGAGGAGAAGACTCACGCCTGTTGGCAAGCTAGCAGGAAGACACCCAACCTGGCCCGAACACCTGGGAATGCACGAGCTCCCAGTTCAGCTCCTTCCTTCTGCATCTGATTTGCAGCATCTCCAGCCTGTCCCTCCCTCACATGCCAAGCAAGTCCCTGCCCTTTCAGCTTGAGGCTCTCTGTAGCCGGCATATCTCAATCTCGCCCTGTTCCATTCTGTACAAAATCAGGTGTCAACTAAAATCAAGTGTGAGAAAAAACAGCCAGGCTTATACCTTGAAGGGTCAACCATTTCCCTTCAGATTCACGTTATGGCTAAACAATACAGTTTCTTCAGCAGCAAAGCCAGCAGAAGTTCCTACTTACTGCGCTGTTACCTACGTCCCGCTCCTGGCCACCGCAGGCATCAGCGATGAGCATCATGGCAGAAGTGAGCCACACTACAAACAAGCAAACAAAAATCTTCCTGCGTTTCAGTGGGGTGCACCTTCCCTGGCAGCTGCACGGCTGCGGCGGTAACAGCACTGCAGACTGTGCAGTGGCAGGACCATGTAGCTGGCCACCAGGAACTGCTTAATCCAGCTGTGCTACTAAGTATAACCACATCCTCTAACTGCAAACATGCCACCAATTATAGCCCTGGGGCATCCTCCCAAATGGCTACTGGATTCAGCTGAGCTGGTCGGGCAAGCACATGGTTTGAGGTTCCTGTCAGAGCCTGTTTGTGAGAGCAGAATCCCCTCACGTCAGTAGTTTCAGGCCATGAATGCCTATTCCTGTTCAGTAAAAGAATATTTCAGGTTTTCCTTTTGCAATCCTGGGCTCCCAAATGCTTTAGGCACTTCAGAGAGGAGGTGCTGGGCATTGCTTCCCACTCACCCCTGCTTTTGGTTGTCTGGGACCAAGGGACCACCAGCACACGCTGCAGCACGGTGGCCTCAGCCTCACACCGTGCCTATGCAAAGCCGAGAGGCACCGCGCCGGCCGCACGCTGCATTTCAGAAATGCCTGCGCTCGCACCCCGACAGCTTTCCCACCTGCCTGCATAAATGTTATTTATGAAGGCTGTCTTGGGCAGAATGGATGCTGCAATCACATACTTCACATGTTCTTCCAACAAAGGTCCACACCCACATCTGGTGCAACATCT